CAACAGAAAGCTGACGGTCGCTACCAAAAAACTGACGATCGCCGCAAAACCGACGACCGTCATCGAGCCAAACACCGCCAAAAGATCGACCAACGTGCTCCCAATTCGAAGGATGCCACTCCTTCCAAAGTCGCGGATAAGTCTCTCGAGCTTCATATCCCGTCCAAGGGTCAGACCCAAGAAAAACCCCTCTCTAACCGCCAGTCTTCTACCCCCCCTGAGGGATCGACCAAGGCTATGGTCGAGTCCCACAATCCAGACGATGGGGGACAGGAAGTTATCCTGGGCAAGCGTCTTCGTACCGGCCAAGGTGAGGTGGTCTGGAAACGAGGGCGTATGAGCCATCAATGGCCTGATCCGTTAGCCTCGAAATCGATGTCTCTTTTGTCGGCCTCCGTTAATGAGGTGGCCGACCGTCTCGAGGGTGCCCTCCTCGAGGATGACCGCAAAAAGGCCAGCGTCACGCTGCCCGAGGTTGGCGATAAACTCGTGCAGTGGCTTGCTCAGGTATTACTCTTCTCTAACTCTACATTGGTTCTTCTCATTTTTCTTTGTCGATACATACGTTAAATTACCTTATCATCTTTGTTGATAGGGCTTGGTTGACTTTTTGCCCTTAGCCAAGGAGGCCCAAGATAGCTCGGGTAAGTCGATAAAGGGCCTCGAGGGCACCATCGGCTACCTGCAGGATAAAAACTCGACCTTCGTGCAGCAAAATGCCAAACTCCGCGAGACCCAAACAGAACAGAAGGCCGAGCTCGAAGTCAAAGTTAAGTCTCTTGATGAGGAGCTTGCTAAGAAGAATAAGGCTCTTGCGGAGAGAGAAGCCGTTCTCGCGGCTAAGGAGATTGTGGTGGCTGACAAAGAAAATGCGCTGAAGGAGAAGGAGACTGCGCTTGAGCAAGAGCGGACTGCTCGAACACAAGCAGAGGCTGCTCGAGCGCAGTCGGAGGCTGCTCGGGTGCAGGCAGAGGCTGCTCGAGTTGAGCTGGAGGCTACCCTAGCCAAAGAAAGGGCTGCCCACGCCAGCCAATGCAAACGCTACGCTGATGCCGCTGCTCTCCGGGCTCGGCAGATGATGTGGGGCACCACTACTGGGCAACTCTTTCTCCGAGAGTACCGTGAGCAAGTGGTGGCCGATTTCACGCGGTCACCACAATATTTGAAGGAGGTGCAAGATTTTGGGGTAGACTGCTTTTAGTTCGCCCTTCAGAAGGCCGGCGAGCAGATCGCCGAGGACGACTTCGAGCAGCTCGACCCTGGGGCTATCTGGGAGGCCTTGCCCAAGGTCCCTTCTAGCTTCCAGGGCGATCCTAACTTAACGCTTGAGCACGAGTGGTGGTCAGGACTGCTTGAAAGGACTCTGGCTCGATCGGATGTACTGAAGAAGACCTACGCTCTGCCCGATGGCCTCACTCCTCCTGCCTCGATGCTGGCTGTGCTGACCGAGTCTATCCGTCAGCGCCCACTCAATGAAGCTTGTGACTCGACCTCAGGGACCAGCCACCCGCCTGACCCAAATGCTAATATGAGCAATGCGGTTTCGACCACCGCTCCTCCTCCTTAGATTGGCTTTACATTTGATCATAAATTCGAACTATGTACTTGAATATCTTTTGTAATATTTTTCTTTGAAATGACAATGTTTGTTTTTTATTTGCCTTGGTCTTCAATAATGCTTTTGATACTTCGACTTGTTACCTTTGTCGTAACTTCTCGATGGGAATACCAAAGCGGACTTCGGAGTATGATTGGTGCGAATTTTGATACATGAATAATACGCTTTCATTAATCGATCCATTCGTCGTTGTTTAAGTGGTGTTTGTTTGCTTCACAATCACTTGAATAATTTAGTGGCACCATACACATACACACATGCCCACCCCTGGAGGTGGTCGGAACATGCGACCATCCAGCCTCGTGGCCTTAAACATGATGGGTTTCCTGTTTTTGAACACATGCCCACTCCTGGAGGTGGTCGAACATGCGACCATCCAGCCTCGTGGCCTTAAACGTGATGGGTTTTCTGTTTTTGAACACATGCCCACCCCTGGAGGTGGTCGAACATGCGACCATCCAGCCTCGTGGCCTTAAACGTGATGGGTTTCTGTTTTTGAACACATGCCCACCCCTGGAGGTGGTCGAACATGCGACCATCCAGCCTCATGGCCTTAAACGTGATGGGTTTTCTGTTTTTGAACACATGCCCACCCCTGGAGGTGGTCGAACATGCGACCATCCAGCCTCGTGGCCTTAA